GCTCTTATTCCAAAATATGCAGATATGTTTCTGCGTGGAAACCAATACATGTCTTTTGAAGACTGCCTTGCAAACATGTTCTTTGTTTTTCTTTTTATGACTATGCAGTCCTTTACTCTCCTTACTTTGGCCTTTGACAGAGTAATTGCTATATGTTTTCCTCTGAGGTATCATGCTATTGTCACCAAAGCCACAATCACTCTGATCATTGGTGTTATGTGGCTTTTCTCTGTATCTCTTGTTAGTGTCCGTGTGGGTTTGATTACCAGACTGTCCTTCTGTAAATCTAGCACAGTTGGCAGTTATTTTTGTGATCATGGCCCTATCTTCAGACTGGCCTGTAATGATAATTCTCTTAATTTCAAAATGGCCTATGTCTATATTGCTCTTGCACTTTGCCTTCCGTTGATGCTAATAGCTCTCTCATATGTTTGTATTGGTGTTGCTCTGTGTAAGATCTCACATGGTGCTGAGAGAATCAAAGCTATGAAAACCTGCACTTCCCACCTCATATTAGTGGCCATGTTTTATCTACCAATCATTAGTGTTTATATTACTGCTCATACAACATACATAGATTCAAATAGTAGAATAATCAACTCTGTCATAACACAAACAATTCCACCTATGTTAAACCCCATCATATATACTTTGAAGACAGAGGAGGTATTGCAGTCTATTAAAGTACTCTACAAGCGAAGCAAGGTGAACTTTGCAATGGAAGATCCTGTAAAATGCATTCTGAAGAATGAAATGATACAATAACTGAAGTGTGGTATACTGGCATAAAGCAGAGTTAAAAGACTGAAATTGCTGCCTTCGGGCTCCGATTTAAATTATGTTTTAAAATATTTTTCAAATAGGCCCATGATTTTAGTTGAATGTAGTGCCAGTTAATGATTTTGTGTAAAGTAAGAACATTTACTTAGCATTTAGTTAGCACTTAGTTAGCATTTAGGTTTAATTTGAATACATTTTTGGATAATGTCTTTACACTGCTTACATATTTACAAAATTGTTTCCATAAAGGGTTTTGAACCTGCAAGGTTGTTCTTTAGGTTTACAGTTATGTAGCCATTATTTTTATCAATGTAAGAAACACATCAATGCAGAAAGATGAAACAAACATAGCAGGCACAGTTGCCAAGGCAAGAAACGCACATTAAAAAAATAATAGAAAAAAAAAAATTACCCTCATTTATTCCTCTGTAAAGAAAAGATCATCTTCCAGGTTTGTTATTTTATTCCATTGACCACCACTCTCTTGGTAAACTGAAATGAGGTGGGCATTATAGTGAGTGTTGACATTGTGTGGTAGAAGAGAGCTCAGCAATGGCTGGAGCACAGTACAGAATAACTTGGTATGGTGCGTTTTGCCCTGTCATTATTTCCTCTCTAAACAAAAGAGAGTTTGATCTGGTATGCAAACATTGTTAAAGTTTCAAAGTGTAGCATTTAGTCCCCAGTCCATTCAGTCTGTATCGAGAAATAAAGCTGCATAAACAATCTGTTATGGTTTCACTTTTTTTGTGATGTCATGAAAACCAGTGCGTTTACATATGTCCGCATTCACCCTTCAGCAGGTAAACTTTAACCGTTCACACTGAAGTTGTAAGAAGTGTTTCAGCCCAGATTGATATTTGAATGTGGTCCAATACTGCACAGAGACCCTTCACATATATCGGTTTTAAAAGCACAGTAACAAAAATAGCCTGTTGGACTAAAACTGATAATGAGAAGTTGGAAAATACATACACATACAAACTTTCTAAGCCACTTATCCTTCTGGGTCATAAGGGGAACTGGAGGAAAACCCACACAGACAAGGGGAGAATGTGCACACAGTAAGGACCCTGGTCGTCCAGCCGGGAATTGATCCCAGGCCCTTGCTGTGAGGCGACAGCGCTACCCACCGTGCCACCCAAGTTAGTAAATAGTCATGTAAAAATGAATTGAGACTGTTTTCTGTTGGTCAAACCACATAAATGTAATAAGAGTATCTCAGGGCAACAAAGTTCAAGACAAATGAAGGACATGAGCCCTTTTTAATATCTTATATCTGAAGATTAGTGGAGCCTGTTTGCTATATGCAAAGATGGTCATCTTACTCTAATGAAGACTATAGTCCAGTCAGCTCACAGACAGCCTGTTAATAAAAAGAAATTGCCAAATCGAAAATAAATGGCAGAGAGCCAGTCAGCTTGCTGGTTACGTGTCACCCAGAAAAAGATCTTCATTCATTCTTCAATTTCATATCGGTCAGTTGATGATTATCACGATCAAATCATTACTTCTTTCAAGTCTAAAGGCTATTTTTTGAAAGTCAGGAAATGATAAACACTCGCCAAAAAGCAGAACATTTCACAAATCTCTCATAGGAGAGTGGGAGAAAGTTCACTTTTGTTGCTCAGAATGTCCTAATGCTAAAATATGACTGTTTACCACTGCTACACCCAGACCATTTTGGCTGTAGTTGTGTGGAGTAGATGTGATTGAATGTAGCTAAAGCTTGTTATGATCTTAGGACAGAGGTCACCAATCGCTCCACTCAAACAGGGAAGGTATAATCCCATGTTTCAGAGGTTATCTTGTGGTTTTTGAGTAGTCTACCTAAAATGCTGGCTACCCACCTAGGTACCACCTATAAAAACTATAAAACACTGGCCATTGTTTCCCACACATTATGTATTCATTTATTCATTATAACAGCTGCCAAACTATATTTGGTGAACCATTTTAGTCCTCACTCACTGCCTTGCCGAATCATGTTTTATACTTTTTGTTTTTCTTTTTTTTTCAGTTCTTTCACTTGCTGCTCTAAACAGTAATGTGATTGGACAGCAGGTGGAGTATGAACAGCAAAGCATCATTCAAACATAGTTTTAAAAAGTGTAGTGCTATAATATCCAAATAATTGTTAGGTCAGACTGTAAAAAAAAACTGTAAAGGTACCGCACCTGGACTCTTGCTTACTTAAAAATGCATTTGCAAAAATACATGTACTCTGCGATTATTATTCCCACCTTACAAATAATACTACATCATCAGAGACTTTTGTGTTGGCTGTGATCTGTGATCTTATATATATTATATCTCATATATCTAAGTATATATCTAAGTACTTATTTACTCTTACTTGAGTAATTTCCTTTATTAATACTTTTACTTGTACTTGGGGAAGTGATCTCTACCATAACAGTACGTTTACTTAAGTAGGGATTTTCTGCACTCTGGTGTCATCAGAACTATCAAGGCCTTTAATGTGTGAAATAAAAATATAAATAATCCTAATAATATCCTGTGCAAAAAATATAAATAAATAACTAAAAATAGGCCAAACTTTTAACAGAGTTGTGACAACAACTCATTAGTCAGTAAATTAGAAAGAGTGAAACAAATAGATAATGTGACTAAGTATGGGATACCTTTTTCCTTTAACCTATTCAAATACAACACACTTACAGCACACTTACAACACACTAAGACTTATAATATATATATTTTTCATAATATTATAATTCAGTAACTACAGGGACTTCAGTGTATATTGATTGAGCTATTCTTAGGCTAATAGAAGTATGTAATGAAACTCTGGGCCCGCCAGCAGGCTCTGACCTTAAGGGGTTAAATGTTGATGTCTTGTAGTTAAACTTGCAGATATCCATCTACAGAAAGAAGAGTCAATGTTTTTCCACTCTGAGCTGATGGTTTCAAACAGTTGGACAACTTCTTCATGCTGGTTTGTGTTTATCATGAGAACAAACATTCTCTACAGGATTTAAATCTGGATTCAGACCAAAACCAACAGTAAAAGCCATTAGTATTCTGGTCTTGTTCCATTTTTTGCACAGGAGTGTATATTCTTATTCATATGTTTTCTTGATTGAAAAGGTAGTTCATAATAACAAGTATGATGATTCTATGATATAAAATGAAGAAAAAAATTACAGACTTGTATTTTTATTTCTGAGAAATCATTGGGCCTTCACTGAAATCCTAAAAGGCCCTAAAGGTTCACCAATGTAGCTCTCACTAAATATATGATTAGTGTTGACTTATAACCTATAAAATGTCCTGGATGATTGTTAATACTCACAATCTGATTTTGGAACCGTTTGATTTTTTTTGACATTCTATAGTTCTCTTTGAAACTGTATATGTCACAGTTTATAAGATTTAAAATGTTGTTTGATCTAACCCCTGGCAAAATTATTGATATGACCTTTGACCTTTAAGTCATTAATCAGATTTTGTCTGAAACTGCATCATCATTAGTGTGCGTCAGAATGAAGGTAGCCTTTTCTTATTAGAAATGACATTCTCAGTTAAAACGATCACAAATAACTTGAATGTGTAAAAAAAGATCTTAGTCCATTTAAACTTTATTTTTTTTTATCCTAAAGAGTTATGGGAAATGGAAAGCAACTAAAGATAATCTACAATACTTTTGAAAGCATTTAATGAAATTTAGTCAGTTAATTCAGATATGACTGGGTGCCTTTCTGCTGCCAAACACTGCTGGAGTTAGAAGCATCAGTTACTTTGGAGACCCATCCATGATAATCTTACATTCTGTGCTGATTTATCATTTATTGTAAAATTTTCATTCACTTAAAAATACGTTATTGCATTTTATGAATCCATGCCAATGTATTCCAGTTTAACATACAACCTTGCCTATAGAGATTTGTGTTGTTTGTGTGTGCGTGTGTGCTTTTTTTTTAGTGTGCTTTTGAGGATGACGTAAACATAGGTCAGTTATAAATGTGTTTGATCTCTCCTGACATTCTGTTACAAAAGGTTTTGTCCTGCTGCAGAAGGTATTGTATCAAACTATTGGGTCATACTATTAGTCATATGCTATTGATTTATTTTGTATGATACATATTCTCTTGATCATTTTTATTTGCATTAATGTTCTGATGATATGAGTGTGATGAACTGTTTTAAGGTTGTATAACTGTTCTTTCTTACATTTTATTTAAGACCAGACTCCTGACATGAATTCTGTGGCGTCCCTTGAGAACACTACATTTATTCGCCCCCCAACATTTTACATCAGCGGATTGTACAACATGCCACATTCAAAGTATTACTATATATTTCTGTGCTTTGTGTATTCTGGGACTCTTTTAGGAAATTCTTTTATAATAGGCACTATATACCTGGCACGCACTCTGCACACAGCAAAGTATATAGCTGTCTTCAACTTGGCCTTGTCTGATCTGTTTGGAAGCTCTGCAATTATTCCAAAGTACGCAGACATGTTTCTGCATGACAACCAGTACATATCTTATGAAGACTGTCTGGCAAACATGTTTTTCGTTTTTCTCTTTATGACTATGCAGTCCTTTACTCTGCTTGCTTTGTGTTTTGACAGAGTAATTGCTATATGTTTTCCTCTGAGGTATCATGCTATTGTTACCAAAACCACAATGACTCTGATCATTGGTGTTATGTGGATCATCTCTGCATTTCTTGTTACTGTCCGTGTAGCTCTGATTACCAGATTGTCCTTCTGTAGATCTGCCATAGTTTACAGTTATTTCTGTGATCATGGCCCCATCTACAGACTAGCCTGTAATGATAATTCTCTTAATTACATGATGGCCTATGTATATATTGCTGTTGTGCTTTGCCTTCCATTGCTACTAATAGCCCTTTCATATGTTTGTATTGGTTTTGCTCTGTGTAAGATCTCACATGGTACTGAGCGAATCAAAGCCATGAAAACCTGCACTTCCCACATCATATTAGTGGCCATGTTTTATCTACCACTCTCTGGCGTTTATTTTACTGCTCATACGACATATATAGATCCTAATACCAGAATAATGAACTCAGTCCTAGCACAAGTAATTCCACCTATGTTAAACCCCATCATATATTCTCTGAAGACAGAGGAGGTATTGCAGTCTATTAAAGTACTCTACAAACGAATCAAAGTGAACTTTGCAATGGAAGAGTCTGTGAAAAGTATAGCAAAAAATTAAAATTACATAATAACTATGGTTCCTTTATTGGCATAAAGCAAAGAATTGTTTACTGTTTTTTCACTGAGTTAAGAGAATGAAATTCCTCCCTTCAGGTTTCTATTACAATTGCTCTTTATTAATATTATGAAAGGTCTATAATTGCAGTTTAATGTACTGCAAGTTACCCTATGTTGTATAAAGTTAGGACATTCATTTGGAAGGCATTCAGGTATATTTGAATAAATCATTTTTGAATAAATATCTATACACAGCTTACATATTTACAAAAATGCTCCAAAAAGTCATTTGAACATACATGGTTGTTCTTCAGGTTTACAATTATGTAGCCATTATTTTCTTCAATACAAACAAGTGAAACTTAAACATAGCAGGGGCAGTTGCCAAGACCAGAACCACATGTAAAAAAAAACAATAAAATAAAAAAAAAATTTAAATTTCAGTTAAATTTTTACTTTCTCATTGTGCTCTTTGAAAGAATTGTTAAGATTTGGAACAAAGGTAAAAGCTTACTTCAGCCTTTGTATGGTATGTTTTATTATTCAGTTCTCTGTTAGAAAAGATACATGTTTTAGGTCACTCATTGTATGCCAATGACTACTACTTTCAAAGAGGTGGGGGATGTAGGGAGTGTGCACATTGTGTGGTTGAAGAGAGCTCAGCAATGGCTGCAGCAGAACACAGCATAGTTTGCTTTTTAAATTTGCTTTATAAGTAGCCTTTGGTTAGCCATTTAGCTTCACTAAAATAATGCTAATTTCTGTAAAGATGTCTACGGGATTTTTAATGGTGTGTTACCACCAAGTTAAGGATGGGTGTATATTCACATTTTATTGCTGATTTCTACTGTAATCACAGACATTTAATGTTTATTACATTCATGTAACATATTCTTTGAATAATTTTTCTCAAATTTTTAAATAAATGTTTGACGTGGTATATAAACATTGTTCATTTCAAAATGTAGCACTCAGTCCAGCCAAAAACAGTCCATATATTTCTACGAAGCTGTGCAAATAGCCCATTTAGTTTTTACTGCTTTTGTGATGTCATGGCAAGAAATGAGTTTACATATGTCCAGGGTGGGGATAGCTACTGAATAATTAGTAGTTAGCTACTTTGTAGCTACTTTCCCAAAATTTGTAGCCAGCTACAATTTAGCTACTTTTCCAGAAAAAAGTAGAGGCCACTTTTTAGCTACTTTCAAAGCCCGTTTGTCAGAATGTGTGTGAATCTCCACCTGACATACCAAACAGGCCCAACTGAAAGTGTGAACAAGACACTGCATTTAATCATGTGCCAGAAAGAAACATACAATTGAAAAGCTGCAAATATGCAAAAAGATCACCAAAAACTAGGTTTAAGTGTAACCTACAATCAAACTTACACAACCAAAGACATGATATCCAACAAAAATTAAGACTAAAGGGAAAGTCAATCATTCCAGGTTTTTCCTAACAAAAATCAACAAAAATAACTGTACTGGACTGTAGTGGTGAAGAGGGAGCTGCTCTCCCAACTGCTACCGTGACCCTATCTGGACTAAGCGGTTAATGATGATGATGATAATGATGGACAAAATGGCTCTCAACATTTCGGTTGTGACCCCTGAGCTAAGCCTACTAGTAAGGGGTGATCAGCGTGTGGGGCCAGCGTGTGACCGTCTGCTCAAACTGCTTGCACCGTTTGCACAATCACCACCAGCCCAGTTACCAACCAAGTCCTATGGTTCACATTTTGCATGGATTGCCTGAAGACTGTAGCAAAATTGTAGCGAAAATTATCGCTATAGCTACACGAAAATTTGTAGGCGCTACAGCTATTAGCTACATTTCATAAAACTGTAGCGTCCACCTGTTCAGCAGGTAAGCCTGTTCGCACAGAACATATAAGCAGTATTTTGGCTTAAACAGTAGGACAACCAGACAGAAATGAAAACATTTACATATACATAGGCACAGTAACACAGGCACAGTAACAAAAACACCTTGTTTATTTGTAAGTAAGAGATGTTAAAAAATGGTCATGTTAAAATTTGTGATGACTGTTTTCAGTAAATAAAACCCCAGAAATGTAAGAAGTGTGTCTCAGGGGAGAAGATAAAATACAATAAAAATGAAGTATATGGGCCCTTTAAATCTGAAGATTAGTGGAGCCTGTTAGTAGGACGGTTGAACAGATGGCCTAGCTCTTATAATCATTGTTTGTCACTGTAACCAAAGAACCATGAGGAATAAGACTAGCCTTTGTAAATGTAATTTCTGTCCAGTGAGGCGTTTTGCCTCTTTAACTTATTGAACTGCTGCTGGGTGGGTTGTTTTTTCAGAATTCTCTTCTGGCAGCAGGACCATTCTCCCTTCTTCCTGTAACCTGTAATCTGATTACTGTCTCTTTTTTTTGTACTGTAACGAATTATAGATCCATATTTTTTGTATCTTGATATGTCACCATTACATGTATTCCATTACTACTCAACCCTGGACCGTAGTATTAACTTATTGTGCCAGATTCATAACACACCATCATATTTACCGTTATGTTTAGAGCAACTAGCGTCATGGTAACTGGTTTTCATATTCACATGAGGATTACTGACAAGTCTTACTGCTTGTGCAAGGCATTGCCACATTTTTCCTTCATTTACATGTGACAGTGGCAATTCATAACATGACATATGCCTGCAAAAACACCTAAACCCTTCTTACGTTAATTTTTCTTAGTAAGAAAATGATTTGGATTAAATTATACTTTCTACAGTGTTTCCAAACATATGTTGTGACACATGCAAGTAATTACCAAGTTGTGCATATTCATCCACTCACTTAGTTAACCAAAATAATTAAAAAACTACATGTAAACTGAATTATTTGCAAAATTCATTCTGAATTGAAAAATAGGATTAAAAAGTAAAGCTGCTTGAATTGAATATGTAATTCATTTTTAACATGCACAGCCTCATTTCCAGAAAGGTTGGGGCGCTGTGCAAAATGTAAATAAAAACAATGCAAAGACATGCAAATCGATTAAACCCTATATTTAATTGAATAGAATACAAAGAGAACATATCAAATGTTGACACTGAGAAATGTTATTGTTTTTTGAAAAATATATTCCAATTTTTAGTTTGATGCCAGTAACACAAAATGTTGGGACAGGGACAACAATAGACTGGTAAATTTGTGTAATGCAAATTAAAATATCTACCATGCAAATAAGAAACCATATATGAACAGGATCCAAAAACTTTCTCTAGATAAAAGCTGTTTTAAGATGGACTTTAAGATGGCACAGTGGAAAAATGTTCTGTGGTCAGACAAATCGAAAAGGATGCCACATCCTCCAGGCTAATGAGGAGAGGGACCAAAAGCCAGCATCCATGATGGTTTGGGGGTGCATTAGTGCATGTGGGATGAGTGACTTGCACATCTGTGAAGGCACCATTAATGCTGAATGACATATACAGGTTTTGGAGCAACATATGCTGCCATCCAGGTGACATCTTTTTTGGGGAAGGCCTTGCTTATTTCAGCAAGACAATGCCAAACCACATTCTGCACATTGTGCAACAGCATGCCTCCGCAGTAAAAGAGTCTGGGTGCTAAACTCGTCTACCTGCAGTCCAGACCTGTCAGGCATTGAAAACATTTTGTGCTAAATGAAGTAAAAATATGATAAAGGAGACCCCAAACTGTTGAGCTACTGAAGTCCTATATCAAGCAAGAATGGGAAAACATTTCACCTTCAAAAAATTCTTCTTCTTCTTATGATGATGATGATTATTATTATTATTATTATTAATAATAATAATAATAATAATAACAATAATAATAATACATTAATATATACTCTATATTGACAAAAGCATTGGGGCACCTACAAGAGCTTTTACAACACCCCATTCTAAATTCACGGACCTGTAACAAGGTGCCTGACTAGTCCCCATGTGAGGATCAAACCAGTGATCCTCGCATAGGAAAGCCTGCAAGGCACTCAAACTAGCAACCTCAAGAGGCGAAGGCGAGTGCGTTATCGGTGCGCCACCATGGTGGTGCTGGGGAAAGTGTTCCAGAACCGACTGGTGAACTGAGATCCATGGTCAGACACCACATCAGTCGTGAATCCATGGACTCTTACCACGTGCTGTAATAGTAGCAAGGCTGCTTCTTTGGCTGACGGTACTCCAGGCACTGCAACAAATTTGCAGGCTCTGGAAAACTGGTCAACCACATTCATAATCCCTGTGTTGCTCTGAGACACAGGCAACCCAGTGATGAAATCCAGGGAAATGCGGGACCAGGGCCGAGATGGTATGGGAAGGGGAAGTAGCAAGCCTGCTGGTCTTGTCTTGGGTTCCTTGTTCTGAGCACATACCTGGCAGGCTGCTACATAGGCACGTACATCCTTCTCCATCCTAGGCCACCAGAAGCGTCTCCGTAGGAACTTGAGTGTGAGATTAGCCCCTGGAAGGCACATAAAAGGAGATGTGTGCCGACCTGGGGGTCTGGAGTGCCCCCTGGATGTCGGTCTCCAGCCCCCAGTGCAATGGGGCAACGATCTGGGTTCCAGGAATAATGGGCTCTGGAGACTTGTCTGTCCTCCGTCTGAGCAAAAGTTCTCAAGTGGGGGCACACGTCTCCTTTTACGTGCCATCCAGGGGCTACTTGCACACTCAAGTTCCTATGGAAACGCTTCTGGTGGCCTAGGATGGAGGAGGATGTGTGTGCCTATGTAGCAGCCTGCCAGGTATGTGCTCAGAACAAGGAACCCAAGACAAGACCAGCAGGCTTGCTACTTCCCCTTCCCATACCATCTCGGCCCTGGTCCCGCATTTCCCTGGATTTCATCACTGGGTTGCCTGTCTCAGGGCAACACAGGGATTATGGTTGTGGTTGACCAGTTTTTCATCCATCCATCCATCCATCATCTAAACCGCTTATCCTTCTGGGTCACGGTGGGGTGCTGGAGCCTATCCCAGCTGTCATCAGGCGGAAGGCAGGATA